TCCGTCCCCGTCGGGTCGGGTCGTGACATACAATATGCAGATGTAGCTTGATCTGTTTGCTTTTGAAACACAAACTCAATATGTTGACTCTGTTTTAGTAGATCTTCAAAATTACGTCTAGCATTATTATGTGCACTGTTATGACCTCCTACATGAATATCAAATTTGTTCGTTTTCTTCCAATTTGAAAATCCATTTTTATTAAATGCTTCTTCATCTTCGTTTTCTCTACCTGGTTTTCTAAACAAATAACAATAAAGACAGTATGATTTGTCTTTGCGTATGCTATACTCTAGCCAATCTGAATACTTGTCAAACCAAGTAGGATTAAATCTTCTCTCTTTCATCACGAATTTAATTTTTGGAAAATCATGACTACGAGGTTGAAATAGTCCTCGTTGTAAATATATTCTTCGAACTTCATCCCGAATATTAGGATTAAAATCAACAATGAGAATTCATAGTCCTGGATCAGATGGAAGATTTTCAACACTTACTTCTATATTGTTAGGTAAATAATTTTCCACTCGAATACGCTTTTCTTTATGATCTTCAATTTGATTGCTATTGTCATTTGATGTTTTTGGAACTGATGATCGTTGAAAATATCTCTCCATAATATTCCAACTCAAAAATGCCTTGAGATTAATCTGATTATTTATCTATTCAAAAATGACCAAAATATAAAACTTATAAAATCATTCATATAAATTCAAAGAGACAAACAATAAAACTTATAAAACTAAGGCATGAATGCATGATCCAACGTTCCATAAAATAAGCAATTTGCAGGCCATGACTTCTAATAGCATTGTGTTGCAACTCGGGCTTCCGAGTTTATGATTTTGATGATAACAAATAATATTTATTAATCTTTTATTTCTCCTAGTATTTGCAGTGCATATGTCTTTCTATGTTGACTAATATTTCAGGTACATCATGCACCGTTCTTTGAAGATTCAAGGCTCAAGATTGCATAGAATTGGTCGTATTAAATGAGTCTGTAATTTTCATTTATTGAGTCAAGTCTTTTAATGATGTATATTAGTTTGTTGATCATGCACACACACAGAGGGAGCAAAAAACGATTATAAATATTTTAACTTTTCTGTTCATCGTACTGTACGAATTTATTTCGTACTGTACGATCTGATGTAACAGAAATAAATTAAAATATTTTATTTTTCCTAAAAAAAATTATTTTTGAATATAACTAATCGTACTGTACGATCACCACATCGTGCTGTACGATCTGTTATAATTAGAAACCTCGCCGTCCATTAAATTAGGCAAAGATTTGAATTTGAAAAGTTGTTCTAATCGTACTGTACGATCATGATCGTACCGTACGATGTTTAAAATATTGCCTAACTTAATCTACTGAATGTTCAATCAAAACGGCTTAATTTTGATATCTTGGTCGTACTGTACGATCTGGATCATACTATACGATCAACAGAGAATTCTGGCCGTCTCATGCTTCGTCCTGGACGAACTGCACTTTTATTGAACTGTTCGTACAGTACATCCTACAGTACATCGTACAGGACATCGTACAGTACGAACTTCAACTGAACTGTTCGTACAGTACTAACTGGACATCGTACAGTACTAACAGGTCAATTTCTGCACATCGTACTGGACTATCTTGAGATCGTACGGTACGATATTTGACACCCGAATTGAGTATTTTTAGGGTTTTTTGAGCCCTCTATTTAAGCACTCTCATAAGACTTTGTAAGAGTCTTTTGGCAGCCATTGCATTTTTGTTCTTTTGGAGAAAACTTGAAGAGAGGACTTGTAATAAATTTTTGTACTTAAAAGCAATAAAAAAAAAAGTTATAAAAAAAGCCTAAAACTACTCCAACCTTTTCACATATATATCGTACGTCTGAAAATCCCCCTTTAATTAAACTTAATCATTTAATTGTGAGCAATCAATATAGCATGCAAAGTTTGGCTACAAATTAACTTCTTGATTTGATAATATTAAGACATCCCCTTAATGCACTGGAAAAGAAATGTGTAAGGAACTCTTCATATAGAAATTATGACGGTGAATTATTTACTATCCATCGGCCTAAGTACATGCATCAAGATCTGTGTCTACCGATCGATCTGGTGCTACTGGCATTTTCCTTCCTATATATTAAGCTTCTTTCATCATCCCCAACACCAAACCAACAGATCAAACAAGCCCTTTATACTACACAGCCCAGCATCACCGGATTGGACCATAGCGGCCCAGCAGCGGCCCATGCACAATACCTGCTGGGAAACAACGATACGTTCGTACCCAATACAGGTTACGAAGTTCCTAACCCGATTCCTTGACCTTATAATAACCAAAAAGATAAATATTTGATATATTTTATATTATGATGGAATAGAAAATTATTAAATTTAGTTTGAGATTTAATGTTATATAAAAAAAATTTATATTGCACTAATTTCAAAATAAATTTAGTAATTTTTCAGTCTGTTTAATATAATTTATATATGTATATTTAATATAATTTTTTCTATAATTATTTAGTCTTTGAAAAATGTTGTCTTATGTCTCCTTTGAATAAGTGAAAGGTATGTAGTCGGGATCGCTCATGCGGCTGGTTGGTTAAGGGTAGAAATTTCTCCCTTTGATCCCACATTTGAATTCTCAAATATGCCCCAAAAAAGGAAAAATTATTCTATGCACAAATCGGGCGCAGAACACCGTCCGGAGATCAATCAAAATCCGTCACGTCAACGGTACCGAGCCGCGATACCAAGCACAGGGATGACGTGCCTCATTTTGATTTGTCTCCAGACGGCATTTGACGTCCACACAGAATAATTAATCTCAAAAAAGATATACATTCAATTGGTAATAATTACCAAATGTCTATCTAGTGGAGTTTGTATTTGTACTGTTTAATTTCATCTAATAGTCTATACTCTTGACCAAATGGTGGCAGAGTCAGAATTTTTTGTTTATATAAACAAATAATATTGCTTCAAAAATGCTATCTATCTTTTCATTCAGGATTTGGAATCCATATTAATGGTTTAAAATTTTTTGTTGTTGGTGCAATTATTATAAAAAAAAAAATTATATGATAAATATATTTTAATTTACTTGATTATGATGTTATAATTAAAAAAATTATAATGAACAATTTCATTTCATTTTATCAAAATATAAATTTTATTGAGTTTTTTTTTTGAGACATTATTTGATTTTGACCTTTGCCTCAGTAACTCTAACAAGTATCTATTCATGAATGAAATGATACTCAATCTCAATATGCTTTGTCCTGACATGTCAAAAATAAGATTTATTGGTCTAGATAGCATTCAATTTGTCACCAAAATTTTTAATCAATACTCTCAACCAACATCAGAGGTCTATTTGGAACAACTTTCATACTACTTTGTTTTTCAGACCTCGATAACCTCGATTATGATCTTATTTGGCTACTGTTTCATTGTTATTTTTAAGTAAATTTTGAACTATGAAGTTGCTTTTTTACAACAACTTTTAAAAAATTACTTTCTCCATAAAACTTTAAAACTATTTTTAAAAAATTACAGCTGTCTCAAATAAACTCTAAGCCAAATGCATGATCTCTTGGAGAAATGGAAATTGAATCCTAATTTTGTTAAACCATGAGAATATGAAGACCAACAAAAGTAAAATTTATATTTGGATCTCCACCTAAGTTAGCATTGTTCAATAAAAGATAAGTCATGGCCAAGAGAATAACTCGCATACCCTAATATTTTTCTTGCTAACATCCACATGTGGTTTTTTGGTTCTTGCATAAACCAACTAATAAGCCCAACAACGAAAGTTATGCTCGGGATTGTATAAATCATATGAGGATAAAAAAAAGCTTATCTTTTTCACAAAGGAGCTTAATGTTTCATTTGGTATAATTTTTTTATTGCTTTTTAAAATAATTTTTTAGAGGAAAAAAAAATTGAACTAAAAATTTTTATACTTGAAAGCAACTTTAGAAAGCAAAAAAAATCGGTCTCAAACAAGAAAAATTGTTAGGAGCGGAGTGCGCACCGTTCGCACAAGCACTTGGTACCTAGCGGTACCCAACGGTACCGAGTGCGGGTACTACTAGATACACAATGCTTGTACGGACGGTCCTCCCCATCCGCACTCTGCACCTAATAATCTCTCCTCAAACAAACCCTTAATTGATAACAAGGGAAGTGTATCAAACATTGCTTTTATTGATGTTAACATTTCAACAATCCTTTTAATATAATCGATACGAGATTTAAAAAATACCACTTAATACTATTTTCTTCTTGTTCTACCCTTAAGATGCAATTTTGTAACCATATAAGCATAGAAAGCAATTAGAAGACTGCCATTTTCCTCGTTATCCACCACCAACAAGTTCAAAGATGATATTACCTAAAGGATAGTAAGAATATATTTCATAAAAAATCACATCAATTTATATATTAAATCTATAATTATTTTTTATCCATGCACTTCTATTCCCTATTATTTCATCATAGCCCATAAAAGATATAATTAATGGCTTTAGCATCCACCTTAATTATTTGAAATTATGACAAATAAATATAAAATTAGAAGTCACAAATCTTTTAGGTACTTCACAATAAGGTTTCCCCGAAGCACTAGCTTCTATGGAATGCACAAGCTCCTTAAACTCTTTGAAACTTGATGAAAATCTTTTTTTTTTTTTTTCTTTATGAGGTAAGTCAATATAAAACTTATAAAAATATCAATAGATGTCACTATGTAGTAATTGTCAAAATATGGAGTTGAATGGCCCATTAGATCATTGTGGATACACTCCAACAATCATTGCATCTTGGAGAGAATTTGTCAGATGAAAGTTGGGGTGTAAGTGAGCCGAGTCGGCTTGAGCTCGACTCGTTTATGAGCTCGCAAGCCGAGCATATCGAGCTCACAAGTCGAGCTAGAGCTCGAATTCGAACTCATTCAAGTCGAGCTCGAACTCAAATAGCTCATGAGCCGACTACGATCCTACAGACCAAATAAACAAGCCAAATATCTCTTAAGAATAGCTCCCATGCCATTAGATTCTTCCAACTCCAACCATGTAATGTACTCTAAATGATTTATATTTGTTGCATTGTGCCAACATATTCCCACGAGAAAGGGCATCATTTTTAATCAATGACAAGCACTAGTGTGATTATTTTACCATGACCATGATTTTTTCCCTTTTTATGATTTTTCACATAAAATTTATAGTCTCTTATGACTCTTACACCTCTCTCTCTCTTATCTGTATATATGTTGCATCTTCGTTCAAAGCTAAGACGTTAAATTTTTTTATCTCTCTATAGCTACGAATGTTCTAGCACGGAACCATTCTTATTCCTTGAAAATAGTTCATATCTACTTGCACATTTGCAAGTTTGATATGGTCAATGAACCATGGGAAGATGTATTTAAAAAAAAAAAAAAAAGTCTTGACTTATGTGATCCTCTATATCTTCAAAATCATCACATTTTTTAGAGAAATCCTTGCAGAAAGCTTCATATGCTAATGCCAACAATCTCGAATATAAATCTTTACCACTAAGTTTATACAGTATAAAAGACCTCCATACATCATATTTAGAAAATTTAAGGATTTCAACAACACAGCCATCCAAATTCATCTTTCAAAAAAGCAAACAAACTTCTTCTCAGAGTGAAAATTGAAGCACCACCAACCATGGTAGTAATTCTAATATTATGTGAAGAAAGTAGAAAGGAGAAAGGAGAAAAGAAGAGATATTTGCCAAACTTATTAGATCATCAACATTGTTTAAGTAATCGATTTTCCAAGCCCAAACCTCTTCCGACCAAGAATTAACACTAACCCAAGATCTACTCCCAAAATTTGAAGAAGGGTGCATCAAAAAAAAAAAAAATAGTAATTGTCAAAATATGGAGTTGAATGGCCCATTAGATCATTGTGGATACACTCCAACAATCATTGCATCTTGGAGAGGATTTGTCAAATGAAAGTTGGGGTGTAAGTGAGCCGAGTCGGCTTGAGCTCGACTCGTTTATGAGCTCGCGAGCCGAGCTTATCGAGCTCACAAGTCGAGCTCGAACTCAAATAGCTCATGAGCCGACTATGATCATGCCGACCAAATAAACAAGCCAAATATCTCTTAAGAATAGCTCCCATGCCATTAGATTCTTCCAACTCCAACCATGTAATGTACTCTAAATGATTTATATTTGCTGCATTGTGCCAACATATTCCCATGAGAAAGGGCATCATTTTTAATCAACGACAAGCACTAGTGTGATTATTTTATCAGGACCATGATTTTTTCCCTTTTCATGATTTTTCACATAAATTTATAGTCTCTTATGACTCTTACACCTCTCTCTCTTATCTGTATATGTGTTGCATCTATGTTCAAAGCTAAGACGTTAAATTTTTTTTATCTCTCTACAGCTACGCATATTCTAGTACGGAACCATAATTATTCCTTGAAAATAGTTCATATCTACTTGCACATTTGCAAGTTTGATATGGTCAATGAAACCATGAGAATATGTATTTTAAAAAATTGTCTTGACTTATTTGACCCTCTATATCTTCAAAATCATCACATTTTTCGGAGATATCCTTGCAGAAACCTTCATATGTTAATGTCAACAATCTCGAATATAAATCTTTACTACTAAGTTAATACAGCATAAAAGGCCTCCATACATCATAGTAAGAAAATTCAAGGATTTCAACAACGCAGCCATCCAAATTCATCTTTCAGAAAATCAAACAAACTTCTTCTCAAAGTGAAAATTGAAGTACCACAAACCATGGTGGTAATTCTAATATTATGGGAAGAAAGTAGAAAGGAGAAAGGAGAAAAGAAGAGTTATTTGCCAAACTTATTAGATCATCAACATTGTTTAAGTAATCGATTATCCAAGCCCAAACCTCTTCCAACCAAGAATTAACACTAACCCAAGATCTACTCCCAAAATTTGAAGAAGGGTGTATCAAAAATAAAAAAAGAGCGCCAAGTTTCACTAAGAATGTGAAGGAATAGTAGTAGACTCACTTGACATAACATATGCTAACATGAAGTAGATGAAAAGAAACTTAAGCTAGCCCTAATCAATGATAACAAAATTACTTAAAATGAGTTGAAATTGGTTTAGACCTTTGACCCCCAATACATACACACAAAAGATGACCCTTGGCAAATTTAGGCTTTGTTTGGGACAGCTTTCTTTCTGCTTCTTAAAGCTGTTTTCTAGTACAAAAACTTTACATAAAAACTGCTTTAAGAAGCAGTTAAAAAGTCATCCAAAATGAAGCCTTAATATGCATCAACCAAACTTAAAAATCAATAAGCTAACACTTGATGAACCCAACATGACTCTTAGATATCATATAATTATATAAGCATAAATGATTTTGAATTCCAAGATATAATGAAATCAATACGACTTTTAAAATTGCTAATTCATGAATCTTGAAATACCCATAATAAAAACATTTCCCCAAAAGAAATATATTTGAAATATTTAACACTTTATGTTCTTTACAGAGATACCTACCTCTAAGCTTAAAAAATCATAGATAATATTTTCCTCATAATAGGCCATTCACGACAAAAGGAAGCCAAAACCCATGTTTGATTTTTGCTTACGCAAAAGTCTAAGGCTTCGTTTGGGCAGCTTTTTTACCACTTCTTAAAGCAGATTTTTAGTACAAAAATTAAAATTTTTGTACTAGAAAACTGCTTTAAGAAGCGATAAGAAAGCCGTCCCAAATGATGTCTAAACCTCATCTCTTTGTACATCCAATTGCTATTGAGAAAGCTAGATAATCTTGTTACATATTATTGTTGTTTGGCGATGTACATCTATTCTAGAATGCAATTACCAACATCTAATTCCCCAAGCCAACCACATTGGTGATAAGCTTTGTACCAGAAATTATTTTGTCATCTCCTACAGAGTGAATAACACAGTGAAAGAGGGTTTGATCACTCCATCAGGATAAATAGTAAATAATTATAATTTGCAGAAAACAGAAAATTGAATATAATTAAAAAAATAATGGTTATTGCTAAAATACCTTAGGAATAGCAGATTGAGACTCTTCACTCAGCTCAGGCTTTGCCTCTGAATGTCTTGCTTCAGATTTCTCGTTCGAGTAACTGAAGAGAGCTCCGGTACATTTTAAAACGTACAGTTCCATATTTTCTTTTTAGTAACAATATAAACAGGTTCAACAAGCCTAATAAGAAGATGCTTACGTTGATAGTATCATAACCCAAATCAGCTCCACGCAGTCCACCCAGAGAAGCCTCTGCTCAACTGGAATTACGCCGTAAGTAATCAGATGAGCAAAAGGCCAAAGCTTCCACCCAGCCTATGAAACCAACGGTATCACGATTTCAACATCCATTGGCACAATCATGAGATGCATTAAGCAGGAAAGTTATGGGAAATTAACTTTATGAATTCTCATTTTTATTTGTTCCTACAAAATATTATTGGTGTTAAAATAACTTATATCCTTGTAATTTTGGATCTAATACTTTTCCTTCCTATTTCTCTAACACTAATTCTATCTATGTTTAATTAAGGGCATCTCCAACCGAACTCCAAACGCTTGAATGACATCCCTCATCAGCTCCAGCCGAACAGTAAGACTTCTGTGGCGTTGCACTGTTCATCTCCGCCATATTTATGTCTCTACCGAACTTGCCGCGCGAAAGAAGAGACTGACTGTTACGCGCAAAAGAAGGAAAAATGGAGTTCAATTGGAGATGAATTATAGCATTTTTTAGTTTCACAACATTTTGGAGTGAAAAATGATATTTTCGGTTGGAGATGCTCTAATGGGAGTTTTTTTTTCACCTTTCAATGTACAATGATTAAACCACCTCAATCTATTTCTAATTACCACATCTCAATGAATGTCATTGAACTCCAACTGCTCCTTCACTTCACTTCAATAAAAAATAAAAAATAATAATAATAATAAAGGATTCTGATTCTTACAGTTAACATGGGCCAAAACGTAGCCTTTAGTTCGATGAAAACATTTGCCGGAGACTCGAATCGCAAGAATCCAAGAACCACATAATAAATACTATTCCAAGTTGCAGTCCAGAGTGTTTGGTCAAATGCCACTTTAGCGGGAACCACCCACCAATCCTGGAACGGAAAAAGAAACTACAAGACGAGCTGTATCTAAGCATCCCAAGCATTTAACAAATCCAAAATTTGTGAAGTGCAAAACCAATTTATAACCACCTCACAAAATTCATAGTAGTAATGAGAAAGGGAACCGTGAAGAGCAAATCCAGTGAGTCCAGAACGGAACATACGAGCGCGATCGAACTCAAAAAGTGGCTTCCCTGCATAGCACTGTAGCACAATAAAATAAAGAGAGCTTATTTAAAGTTCACACATTAAAAACTGATTAAAATCAAATTATTTAAAAAAAAAAAACAATATGGACCTGTGCAATCCAGTCGCCTATAGAGTACACTACACCGCTAATCATCATTTTAGCCAAAACAGGGTTTGTTTTTAGAGCTTCTTCATAGGCAGTCCAGTTATGCTGTGGTGCATATCTGACAATCTCATATATGGTCCAACCCTGGAGTAGTAACTTCTCAGATGATCAGCTGGGGTACAGTTATACTAATATTTCTAGAAAGCTAAATCATTGGTGAAAATGCTAAATCCACATCTACGAATAGTATTAGTATTAAAGATCATAATTAGAGAAATCTTAAATGTTCATGCAGTCCCCTACATGAGAGAAAAAACAATATAGTAGAATTAAGTCAGCAAACAACAATTCAATTAAATATTTCATAACTACTTCAACGCTTCAGGTTTTAAGTTGAAGTACAGCCATAAACTATGTTTCGGTTCTTCACAGGATCAATAAGAGATATTTGACTTCACAGATTCCCCAAGTAGTTGGGATAAGACTAATCATGATAATTACCAAAGTTCAGTGCCATCTTGCGTACTAAAATCTAGAAATCATGCTTGCTCAACAATAATAACATCAAGCCTTCATCCCACTATGCGGGGTCGGCTACATGAATCCTTCTTTTTCCATTGTATCATTTAAGAGTTAAATTCTCATTAAAATCTAATAAATAAATGTAATTTCTAATATTTTCTAACCAAGTCCTTTTAGGTCTATATTTACCTTTCTTAACATAAGTCAAATCTAATACATCTACTTTTCTAACCGAGTAATCGGAAGGTTGTCGTTTTATGTGATCAAACCATCTAAGGCGACTCACTCTAATCTTTTCTTCCACTGGAGCTCCTCCAACCTTTTCACGTATATTCTCATTTCGTATCCTATCTCTAAGAGTAAAGCGACTCATCCACATGAGATCCTCATCTCTGCAACACTTAACTTAATATTATGTTTCTCCTTTAATGACCAACATTATGCACCCTAAAGCATTGCAGGTCTAACGACCGTCTTATAGAATTTTCCCTTAAGTTTGAGGGAGACTTTTCTATCACACAACAAGCTCAATGCATTCCTCCACTTCAACCATCCAACTTGAATTCTATTAATAATATATCTCCATCTATTTCACCATCACTTTGATTCTCTGAACAATAAATCCAAGATATCAAAAACGTGTACTCTTATTAATGACTTGATCACCCAAAGTCACAATCCCCCCACTATATCTATTATTATTAAAATTATACTCCATATATTCAATTTTTGATCTACTCAAACGAAAGTCTTTAGACTATGGTTGACCTCCATAATTCAAGTTTACCTTCAACTCCCTCTCTAGTCTTATCAAAAAGAATAATATCATCAGCAAAAAGCATATACTAGGGTACAACCTCATGCAAATGTCTAGTGAGAACATCCATGACTAAAGCCTTTAGAACTCATGTTTGCTCAAAAACAAAAAATTTTTCTTGCACTTAACAAAATAGTTTAATGAGTGGAAGACGAGCCATGTTAAGTTCTAGCATGGGCGGATCCACCCATAGCTTAGGGTGGGCAAATGCCCACCCTCAAAAAATTCTTTTTTAATATTTAGAGGGGAGATTTTGAAATATTTTGAGTATTTTGGGCATTTTGACCCCCCTCAAAAATCTTTTTTGTCTTACTTTTACCAATCCTACGAATTTTTGCCCATCCCTCACAAAAAAAATTTTTTTTGCCCATCCTAAAAAAAGAAGCTGGATCCGCCCCTGAGTTCTAGTGCCTGAATCCGAGTGAAAGTCCAGAATGCATGCTAACTTCTACATGCCAAACCTTTTTGTTATTGAAAAGTCTATCAACAACTAAGCAAAATGAATTTGGCAGTTATTTTTTACATCTATACTGCATTCCTTCGCTGTTCAAGTATTCTTCCTCATGAAACATATGGGATCTAAAATTTCAATTTCTCTATGCTTTAGTTGAATCGTATATTTTCATAAAAATATGTTTGATTCACTGAATACCATCTAAGTAGCTCATTCAACTCAATCCATGTTGTATGGCTTCAGTGGGGAGGGTGAAGATGGATGATGATTATTTCGTCAAAAATTTTAAATTCCATTAACATGAATCGTCGTAATAATTCTGTCACTCATTCTTTTCTTTTCTTTCTTTCTTTTCTTTATTTTTTTTTAAATTTCATTTACATGGATTGCTTTAATAATTCCATCATTCACTCTTATATTTTCTTTTCTTTTAATTTCTTTCCTTTTTTTTTTTTTTTTTTTTTTGGGGGGGTTTTTTTTTTTTTTTTTTTTGAGGGTGGAGAGGCATGATATATGCGACGTGATGATAATTTACAAGGTCTCTTAAAAAAAAATACATATTAAAAGATCGTCAAATCATCGAAAGAAATTCATAAGAAATTCCTGAAAAGTATTGGCAAAACCCAATGCTATGCTACTGATTCATCATTTGTGAAAAACTTAAGGGAAAAATGAAGCATAAGAAGCAGAGAGAGAGAGACAGAGAGAGAGAGATGGATGACCTACATGCCAGTAATCCATGTCAATAGTGAGCAGCTTCGTGATGGCGAAGGTGCCGGCCGCAAGCACGATGGAGGCGTTAATGGCCCGATCAACCATCTTATCCTGCTCTTCCACTTCCATCAGAGAGACCGATGTAGAGGATGATAAGGAGAAGCCAAATCCACCTCCGCCTCCAACCCCAGCACCGCTCTCAAAAGCAAATCCACCAATCTGACTTGTACTTGAACCTGCTGCAGGTCAAGGTTACTTTCCTCCTCCCTGCCTACCCCGACTTGCTGATCCGTAGAGTCCTCGCTTTGCACGGGAAGAACGTTGATGTCGTCGGACATCGCTACCGCCGCTGCCGTAAGCAATCGATTCCGGAATCCAGCGACGGTAATGTCAGCAATTCTAGTGTAGGAGGAGATGGGCAGGGTAAGGAACAGCCTCGATTTGGCGGGCATGGAATTGTAGTAGGGGAGAGCGAGAAACCTCTGAGAGGCCATACTGTTGATGGCCGAAAGGAAGAAGGGTGAAGGGAAGGCTTCTTCCTTCCGATCTCCCCTCCGTTTGCCGTCAGTCGGATTACATATAATTATATATATTTATAGGCCCTTCAGTTGCTGATTGCCTCCATATGCTCACTAAGCTTAAGTCGAATGCCTTTCATAAATTTGCGTGGGCTAAATTCGAACGAATCAGAGCAACAATAATCTTAATAAAAAAATATATTTTTTTGCTTTATTTTTGTGGATATCCATCAAATAGTGGTCTTCCACACAAATCATTTAGGGTCTATGGACATTAGAAAATAGAATATTGATGGTTTGGATAATTGACTTATTAGGAGAGCCAATCGAAATCTTGTGATGTGAGACTCAATATAATATTTATATTAAAATATTTTTATTAGATTCCTGCTTTTATATATTTTAAAAATATGTTCTATTTTTTTACAAGTTAATTATGAAGATAGTTGATACTTCATGCAAAAATTATCTTGATCGGGCATGAATCTCGAGGCAAAAATCAAGTGGAAAACTTCAAAAATTAAATTCGGAAGGACATGAACTCCGATTTCAGCAAACTTATAGTCAAACTGAGCGTCTCGGAAATACAAACCCAACGACACCAAATTCGACCCGATCTGAGTCCAAATGGGTCCAAATCAAGGACCTGAAGTGCCGTTGGAAGGTTCAAACAACAATTTGAGTTACCAAACGGTCTCCGATTTTAACGAGCTTATACTCGAATTGAGCGGCTCGACGATACGAATCCAACGAGCCCAATATCGCTGAATTACGACATCATTAAGATTTCCAAATATCCAACGAATGGTGCACAATCGAATGGTTCAATATCGGCCGTCCATTCAAACCACTTCCAATTCTCCTCTGATCTCACACCTATTTACAAGTCATGCCACTCCAGAAAAACTATAAATAGAGCCCTCATTCTTCACAAGGGGGGGGGGGGGGGGGGGGGGGGGCAAGAGGGGGGGGGGAAGGGGAGAGAGAAAAGAAGAGGAGAAGAAGAGGAGAAAGAGAAAAAGGAGAATCCTCTCCTCGACCACCACTGGAGCTATTCCTGCCACCTAAATACGCCGGAACTCTGCCGGATATTAGGGAGAACACCAGAATTTTGCCCAACTTCCCTGAGATGCGTAAATTCTTCTCAATTAACGACAGAGTTTCCTACTGATGCCGAAACTCCGCCCAAGTGATGCCGGAGTTCTCCTCGTCCACCAACAGACGTCGGACTTCTATCCGACAACTGACCTTCACTCTTCGCCAAGTTTCTACCCGATGCCGGACTTCTATCGGTTATCGGACTTTTGCTAGACGTATATCCGAATATGGATTTATTTCCATTGTTGGACTTCTACCTGACGTCGTCCTTCTAACCTTCATCATTAGACACAGTCCTACCAACCTCCCTCGCAAGGCAACTGTCCTTCTGACCTTCGTCGCCAACCAACTACGGTCCTTCTAACTTACGTTGCCCACCGACTATAGTCTTTCCGACCTCCGTCGCCCGCCGACTACGGTCCTCTTGACTTATGTCGCCCGCCGACTACAATCTTTCCGACCTCTGTCGCCCGCCAACTACAGTCTTTCTGACCTCTGCCGCTCGCCGACTACGGTCCTCCTGACTTATGTCGCCCACCGACTATAGTCCTTCCGACCTCCGTCACCAACCGACGACGGTCCTCCTGACTTACGTCGCCCACCGACTACAAGCCTTCCGACCTCCGTCGCTCGCCGACTACGATCCTCCCGACCAAACGAATATGTCAATAGTGATTATTTGTATTCACATCATGTAATGTACTCTATAAAATGTACATCAAGCTAAGGCATTCTCCCAAGGAAGGGCCTCATTTGTAATCGACTGCAATACTAGTGGATTCATTCAAACTAGGCTAGGCCCCGTGGTTTTTCCCCCTTTTCAGTGGTTTTCCACGTAAAAATTTTGGTGTCTCATAAATGCTATACCGTCTCTCTTATCTGATTGCGTGCCGGATTTTCGTACAACGCTAAGACGATAAACTTTATATTTCTCTATCGCCGCGAATACTCCTGAACACAACAATAGTTTTTCAGACTATATTACTTATCTTTTGCATATGTGTAGTACTTACTAAAGTGTATCACAAAATAAATTGCTTCAAAAAAGTTCAACAAACGAAGTTTGATATAACATTTTCGAGTCTTGCTCAAATCATTCATGGGCCCTATGATTCCTTCCTAGCAAGCCTATTTAGACGTTGGCCCGCTACTTCCCATTTGAAGTGTGCCATCAATCTTGAGTTCCGGTTCCAAGTTCTCATCCATCGGTACCATCCCGCAATGCAAGGTTCACCTAGCTTCATCAATCTCGTCCATGAGCCCTAACTCCAAGTAAATTTTCATGGCGTTGTGGTCTTGCGAAGCTAGCTTTAGTGATCTTCATTAATCTCATCCAAAAAACCCCAGCAAACTCCCATCATTTCATATCAGCTCTAATTACCTCATATGATGTCGTCTGCAAGCCCATATCAACTATGGTTGCGCAACTAGCTCCAATGACCTTCACTTATCTTGTTGAAGCCCCCAACAAAATCTCATCTTGTGATGCCAACTCCAATGACCTTTAATGCTCTCATTCTCAAGCCCTAGCAAACTCTAATCACAACATTTTGTGATCCCGCAATGTCCACTCCAGCGACCATCGTCATCACCAGTTCGATCCACGTTTGAATCAGTTTCGAATTAAACTTTTTATGTAAAGTTCAATTTCAAATCAAATTGATCATTTTCTATTGTGATATACTTCAATAAAAGGTTCACAAATACATGAGGAGTACCTTAATTTGAAATGAACTTTTGTGCATATCTCCACAATCAAACATTCAATGATTATAATTCTTCTATGTATCCTATTATGAGATATATAAAGTCAATTTGCTCCAAATATTTAGCATATTGAGTTATCACTAATTTATAAGATAAAATTTTCATACTTAATGAAATTTAAATTAGTTTGTTATTAGTTTAACTTATAATTATGGTATAATAATTGTAGATCAAATCATCATTGGGTATTTGTTCTCATATAATTGTAGATCAAATCATCTACATTAGATTCATTAAGCATTAATTTTTTTTAGTTAATTTTGACAATGAATATACAATGATTACTATAATGATTAGTGTTATGATATGAAATAATAATAATAAAAAAAAGATGTGTTAGCAATAAACGATAATAAGGGAGTTGATGTTATGATTATGATTTTATGATAAAATAATATTATTGAATAATAGTCTGATCAGTATTAATTTACATTCACTCTCTTAATATTATCAGTTCATTTTGGATATTTTCATTCCATATATAGCTTAGTTAATTAGCTATTCTCAAATCAAATTAAATTATGTTAAATAATGCCAAAACAACTGAAATGGTTGCTTCAAAGTAGATATTCCAATGACCTAATTGAGCAAAATCACAACATTATAAGTTTAATGCGCCATTAATAAAAATATTCTGACAATTAAATAGCAGTCAAATCACTCGGATTTAAAATTTAAATATTTGTTTCAAATGTTTTAGCATTATTGTATTAAATTAAATCAGAAATAAGCTTTTAAACAGGTTTTTTTTTTTTTTTTTTGAAGAAATCACAACATTTTTTTTAAACAGGTCTAAGGCTTTGTTTGGATCTTTTGGGACATTTTTCTTATTGCTTTTTAAAATGAATTTTTAGTATAAAAATTTCAAATTTAAAAATTTTTTATACTAGAAAGTTGCTTTCGAAAGTAGCAAAAAAGTTATTCCAAATAAAGCCTAGATATTCAATGTCTCTAATATAAGACAAATGTTTCATTTGAGACGACCATCTTATTGTTTCTTAAAGCTGTTTTTTAATATAAAAATTAAAAATTTTATACTAAAAAATTATTTTAAAAAGCACTAAAAAATTTGTCCCAAACGTTAAATTTTTTGTATTAAAATTCTGTCTTAAAAAATAATAAAAAAATTATTCCAAATGAAGTATAAGATTTACTTTGGGATAATTTAATATTTTTTAAAGTTAATTTTTAGCATAGTTTTTTTTAATTAAAATTTTGTATACTAAAAAATTATTTTAGAAAAGGAATCATAAAATCATATGTGATTGGGACTAACGTGGAAAATTTTTATTGGTTAATATGAAATAATTTGACAGGAATTATTTCTTGGAACACAAGGCTGCCTTCCATGCCTGCCATTTAGTGCTCCTGCTAGAATTTCATTGATATTCTTTGCCACCACGGACCAGGTTGATTTCCTCGTCTTCATCACTTCAACCAAAACCCTAAGCCCCTCTTTCCAGCCGCCTCCGCACGATTCCCAGAGAATAACGTCAACCCGTCTTCTCGCCGGCAGCGAATTACCCTTCCCTTTTCCGGATCACCCTCTATGGAGGATGTCTGCGAAGGCAAAGACTTCTCTTTCCCTAGGCAGGAGGAGCAGATCATACTCTTTTGGGATACTATCCAGGCCTTCAAAACGCAGTTGGAGCGCTCAGCGCATCTCCCGGAGTACGTCTTCTATGACGGCCCTCCTTTTGCCACAGGACTTCCTCACTATGGCCACATTTTGGCCGGCACCATCAAGGACGTTGTCACCCGCTACCAGTCTATGAAAGGCAACCATGTCACGCGTCGATTTGGTTGGGACTGCCATGGACTCCCCGTGGAGTACGAGATCGACAAGAAGCTCGGTATTAAGAGCCGCGACGACATTTTGGCCATGGGGATCGACCGCTACAACGAGGAGTGCCGCAGCATCGTCACTAAGTATGTGAAGGAGTGGGAGGAGGTCATCACTAGGACGGGAAGATGGATCGATTTCAGAAATGATTACAAGACAATGGACCCCCAGTTCATGGAGGTAATTTGGTGGGTCTTCGCGCAGCTGTACGAGAAGGGCCTCGTCTATCGTGGTTTCAAGGTTAGGTCATAGATGGAAAAGATTGCATTTTTCGTCCCCATTTCGGCGTATTGGATATAAAAGGCTCATGCTTGCGCTTGCTTCTTCTGCAGGTCATGCCTTACAGCACGGGTTGCAAGACGCCTCTTTCGAATTTTGAAACTGGACTAAATTATAAGGTTTTGATGGTTTTTGGCTGCAGTCCTTACTAAAAGAATTATTCTTCCTTTTTTGTTCTGATTTTTGCTTGTTATGCAGAATGTTGCAGATCCTGCAATCATGGTGTCTTTTCCCATCATAGGTAATCCAGAAAACACTGCCTTAGTGGCATGGACGACAACTCCATGGACGCTTCCAAGCAATCTTGCTCTCTGTGTTAATGCCAATCTCGTATATGTCAAGGTAAGGTATGCGCGTGATTCCGGAAACCATTTTTTTGCGATAGGTAACGTTATTTTAAGCGGCCTACTGGCCTTCGTCGTATTTAATTGGTGCACATAGGAAGCGGGCCATTCTTAGTATTAGAGATGACACCTCACTTAAGGCTAGAACTTGGGCTTTTTTCTTTTTCTCTTCTCATGATGGAGCATTTTGTAGAGGGTGGAAAGTTTGATCCAGGTGCTTTATACTCCATTTTGCTCTTGAGTCATCAACGGTACATGCCTGGACTTTTGAATTATTTTTCGTTGGAACTACCTAAGGTTGGTGGAACTGACTGCCTTGAGATTGATTAATAAGAAATAAAAGGAACCACGGATTCATGTGCGAAATAAGAGAGAAAATGTGCCATGAATCCATGTGATTAACGTCAAAAGGGGAGTGCCACAGATTCATGTGCTAGATAAGGGTAAACATGTGCCACAAATCCATGCCCTTAACATGGAAAGGGAATACCATGGATTACACATAACCGGAATTTTCAGACAACAAATTTAATTTTTGAAATATTTGTAAGTATTTCTTCTTAAGATTCTATAGTTTCTATTTATGTTCTAAGTAACTTTGTGTATAAATATCCATTGATTGAATAAACTATCCAATATTTCTAGCCATTTCTTTTTATAAGGTATCAGAGGAAGTCCAGTGTCCTCTTTCCAGCATTAACTTTTTTTATCTCTTTCATTCCTATCATTTGCATCCTATTTGTTTTTTTCGAGTTCCCATCCAAAGGAGTCAACCATTGAATGGTGAAAACCAGGCTAATCCTTCTGAAGGAGAATTCAAGGGGCTACAAATCTTATATCTTTTGAATGGAAGAAATTACCTAAAGTGGTCTTAGATTGCAAAGACCTTTCTAAAAGGAAAGGAAAAAAAAATCATCACTTTGTTGATCCTCCTCCATATTTAAAATTCCCAATGTTTGTATTATGTGATGAAACAAACTCCATGATTATGTCATAATGATGGAACACCATGATACATGAAATTAGTGGATCATACACGTTCGTAATTATCACAAAAAAATTGGGAAGATGCCAAACAGATTTACTCAAAGGTTAAAGATGTCTCTCTCATCCATGAGATCAAGATGAAGCTATCAACAATCAAGCAATATAATGATAGGAAACACTTATAGGCACTAGAATTCCCTTTGTGGAGTTTGAATTCCAGCACTTGCAAAAACATATTGGAGAAGAATTTGGAAGAAATAATCAAACTTAAACCTTTTTAATTATAAAAGATGAAAGAAACAACAAGATACAATGGACCCTCAATTGGAGAGGAGGATCCGTCTCTCCCAATCTCTAGTCAACGGTTAGAACTTAGAACCCAAGTAAACCTTAGGAACTCTCAAAATTTAGCAAATAACTAGATAACCATAACCCTAGAAAATCTCATATATTTAAAGCATACAAATACAAGCCTAATTTACTAAACAATCCCTCCCTAAATAATAACTTGCCTAAGCGCCCCTCGTATTCAAGTACTGGGCCCCACAAGGGGTCGACGGCTGTAATGCCACAGGGAAATAAACCAGCCCCCCTGGGCTAGTTTGCCCAGCCCACCTGGGCCAGTCCCCGTCTATCAGATAACCTCTCTGTCATTGAATATTTCAATGCAATGAAGGTTTGTTAGTTAGAATTATATTACCATCAATATCTCAAGATGAAATATAATGTTGATGTGATAGTTCTAACATAATATGTTGAAAGAGAAAAAAGTTTTTGAGTTTCTTGTAGTACTCAATATTAAATTTGACCAAGTTTGTGTTCAAATCTTGAGCATAAATGAGGTCTTCTTGCTTATAGAAACTAAATAAAAAAGGATGGTAATGCTTGATATTAAAAAATCTGATTATTTATAATATATGTAATTTCAGATTACAATAATGTTCAATTTAAAAGTTCCAAAATTTATAAAGAATTTTGGGACATGATAGCTTTTTCCATTCGATCAAAAGCAAAAGGTTAGAAATTGATCTTTATTTTAATTAGTTGGTTCATAAAAAGTAAACTGATTCACCAGTTTAACTGCTAGTTTTGATTGGTTCTAAACAGAAACGGTTTTTGGGTTTGAACAAACTGGCTAGAGGATCAGTTCATGGCTGAACTGATGGAACCGCTGGTCTAGTCCTTAAAACCTTTTTGTTATCTCACGAGCATTGGGCCTCATTACCTTAATGATGTCTTTTGCATTGATAAGTTTTCTTTGTTCTGGATTTTAGTTTGTTTTCTTTGTCTTTAACTAGTTTATCAGATTTTATTTTATATATTTGATTTCTAAGTTATCCTAGATGAAATGATTAACCTCTTTTGAATCCTAAGCTTGAGATCATTCTAACAACTTATGTTCAAACTTAGAATGCTTTTCATATTTCCTGGAAACTCTTCATCAGAGGGGTTGCAATGAAAAAGAAAGAAAAAGCTCCATCTTTTTTCCACATCTGAAACCGGAAAGTCGTATTTGCTAAATTTTTTAATGAAAATTGTGAAAATAAGATTGACTATAGTGACCTTAGTACCCTAAATGTAAATAAGGCGTATTAATAAAACCGAAGTTAGAGAGGCTTTAAAGAAAATGAAGGGTGGAAAAGCTGTTGGACCTGATGATATTCCAATAGAGGTGTGGAAATGCTTAGGAGATGAAGGAATTTCTTAGCTTATTAAACTTTTTAATACTATTTTGAAGACTAAAAAGATGCCAGATGAGTGGAGGATGAGTGTGTTAATTCTTATTTTAGAGAATAAAGGTGATGCACAAGATTGTGCGAATTATAGAGGAATTAAGTTAATGTATCATACTTTAAAACTATGGGAGCTAGTTATGGAGCATAGATTGTGGCGTGATACTAATGTTTCTCAAAATCAATTTGGATTCATGCCGGGTAGGTCGACTATGGAAGCCATACATTTATTAAGAGGTTTGATAGAGAAATATAGAGAAAATAATGAGGATATACATATGATATTTATTGATTTAGAAAAAGCATATGATAAAGTTCCAAGAGAAGTGTTATGGAGAGTTATTGAAAAGAAAGGAGTTAATAATGCTTATATTCAAATCATTAAAAATATGTATGCAGGAGCTATTACTTGTGTTCAAACACAAGGTGGTTTGACCAAATATTTCCCTTTTTCGGTTGGGTTACATCAAGGATCAGCCTTAAGCCCATATCTTTTTGCTTTAGTCATGGATGTTCTCACTAGACATTTGCAAGAGGATGTACCTTGGTGTATGCTTTTTGCTGATGATATTCTTCTTGTTGATAAGACTAGAGAGGGAATTGAAGGTAAACTTCAATTATGGAGGTCAACCTTAGAGTCTAAAGGTTTTCGCTTGAGTAGATCTAAAACGGAATATATGGAGTGTAATTTTAGCAGTAATAGTCCTAGTGAGGGGATTGTGACTTTGGGCGATCAAGTCATTAATAAGAGTACACGTTTTAGATATCTTGGATCTATTGTTCAGAGTGATGGTGAAATAGATGGGGATATTATCAGCAGAATTCAAGTTGGATGGTTGAAGTGGAGGAATGCATCGGGCTTGTTATGTGATAGAAATGTACCCCTCAAACTTAAGGGAAAATTCTATAAGATGGTAGTGAGGCCTGCAATGCTTTATGGTGCCGAATGTTGGCCATTAAAAGAGAAGCATAATACTAAGTTAAGTGTGGCAGAGATGAGGATGCTCAGGTGAATGAGTGGCTTTACCCTTAGAGATAGGATACGAAATGAGCATATACATGAAAAGGTTGGAGTAGCTCCAGTAGAAGATAAGATTAGAGAGAGTCGCCTTAGATGGTTTGGTCACATAAAACAGCGGCCTTCCAATGACCTGGTTAGGAGATTAGAGGTATTAGATTTGACTTATGTTAAGAAAGGTAGAGGCAGACCTAAAAAGACTAGGTTAGAAAATATTAGGAATGACCTTTCTTTATTAGATTTAAACAAGAATTTGACCTTTAATAGGACACAATGGAGAAAAAAGATTCATGTAGCCGACCCCACGTAGTGTGATAAAAGCTTGATGTTGTTGTTGAAACCGGAAAGTTGTAGTTTACAGGAGAGGGCTTGTTCACTGTTAGATTGTTGATATAAAAGGTCCTAGAGTTTTCCATGCAAATGTTGTCTCCAAATTTTCTTGATGGATGGATAGTTGTGGTTTCTTGCAGCGTGTCCTTTTGTTTTGGTACTTTCATAATGAATGTATGTTTTAATGTGAAACCTAACAGCTGGTTCATTCATTTCCTTTTTTTTTAAAATTTGCTTGTATGTGTATTGCTATTTATTTTACAATTTTGATCTCATCTTGTTAAAAATGACTGACAGGTTAGAGACAAGCTGACGGGTGCTATTTTTATAGTAGCAGAATCTAGGTTGTCTGAGCTTCCTAGCAAGAAAATTAAAACAGATGGATTGGTTGATTCAATGCAAAAGCTGTCAGTTTCTAACACGGAGAGTAAAGTTATCATGGCTGATAAATTTCAACACAAAAAAGATAGTGGTTCCTACGAGTTGTTGGAGAAATTATCAGGATCTTCGCTTGTGGGAATCAAGTAAGCATTGCATTTTTTTTGCAATTCCAATATATTTTTTGGTTAGATGCAAAGTTTATTAAATTTTTACAGATATTCTATTTTGAAATGGTTTTGTTTTTCCTATGATGGGTTCTCATGAATGGCTCGTTATTGCAGATATAAGCCAGCATTTGACTATTTCCTAGAGTTGTCAGAGGTGGCATTTACTGTAGTTGCTGACAATTACGTAACTGATGATAGTGGTACTGGGGTTGTTCATTGTGCTCCTGCATTTGGTGAAGATGATTATAGGGTCTGTATAGCCGCTGGTATAATCCAAAAGGTATATGCGCCTATTTTTTATTTTTTCATCACATTAATGATTGATGCAATTATTTTGAAAAGGGAGGGAAGGGGTACTTAATTAATCTCTTAAATGGAGTTCTAATTTTTAGGAAGGAATTAATTAAAATAGGAGAGAGATTGGGTGCCTTAATGGAGAAGCATTAATTAAGTAGAGAGATGAGATAAGAGAGAGGGGGCGGCAGGTAGAGAGAAGATGATTTAGGGAAAGAGAATTAAAGTGGGCCTTGATTGGAATCCGAAATTGAGGAAGATTAATTGAAATCAAATCTAATCAGAAATTTAATTGGACATAATTTAAACAACTTTCCTACAATAAGAATCATAATTTAGTAAACAAATTCAAATTCAAATTAATTTGAATTTTTAATTTGAATTCGAATTCGTTACCAAATTAAGATGTATAAAATAGGAATGCTCTGAATACAAGATGAAATTGTGGGAGCCAATGGTGCAAAGAAGGTGGCCGACGGCTATGAAGGTCTTAGGGTTAGGGTTTGTGAGGGTGTTTGCAGATTGGAGGTGGGGGAAAGATGGCCGGTTAGGCTTAGGAGGGGGATGAGAAATTTCGGTGGGGAAGAAGAGAAGGTTGTGGGAAGAGGCCGGCGGGTTATGGTGGAGGAGGAGATGAAGTCGGCGGGATTGGAGAGAGGATGAAGATGGTGATTAGAAAAAAAAAATAAGGAGAGCAAAAAACAAAGAAAACCGTGAGCCCGGACACTTCTTGCGGCTGACGGGTGTTGCGTTGACTTTCACCAAGGGACTTTAAACCATGAGCCCTGACCCATCCTACGGCTAGTGGAAACTACGATTCCCTCCCATAATAATCTCACCAAAGTCCTCCCAAGGAACAAAGTGTAGAAATAATATTTTTTTTTTATTAATCCATCCTTGATCTAATACATGAGCAAGAGCTTTTATATATAGGCCTTAAAAGAAACTAAAATACAACTTTACCCCTTGGGCTTACATAAGACAAGATCTTTAAATAAGGGTAAAAATGGAAAATCGCATAATTAAATCAAAACTATAATTAATAAACTAAGATAAAATGGAGGGATTTAAGCCGTCGATCTTCGTCTCTTCCTTTGATTAACGTCTACCGTCGGATGTCCACATCAGCAAGCTTGTCATTTACTTTTCAAGCCGAAATTTGATAATTGATGTCCTCAAAATAAGAATTATAGGATTAATATAGGGCTCTTATTTGCATTTTCATTTACCAATATTTGTTCAGATCAGTCTGCAATTCTTGATGAATTTTTTTTTTGAATTGCAAATATAGTTTATGTTGACAAGTTGACCATGTGTTGATCAATCATTTGTTTGTTTGAAGATGACTATCACTATAGTTATGATAGAAAAAATCCATATAGACAACAGAGGGCCTTGGGCAACGGAAATGAGTCATTTATGTGGAAGAGGTCGGTGAAAACAAAATGTGTTATTTATCTTGTAAGTGAAAACTTGTCTTTTACGATTTTTTGTCCCTATGTTTGTGCTTGGAGGGATTACTTAGCATGAAATATGTGGATAAGGCCAGGTGACAAGTGTTGCTTGGCAGTGGGTCCACATTCTTAAGGAAGTTGAGCTTAGTGCCATGAATTTTTAGATGTAGGAGATCTCATATAATGGAGGTAGATGCAGACGTGGTGAAGAGGAATCAATGAAAGAAAGCTCAGGGCATGCCATAAGCATGGGCAAATGCACTTATGCTGAAGCTCATAAGAGAGGAAGCATTGCAATAGAATGCTAAGGGTGTAGGAGGCCGATCATTGGGCAGAAGCGAATGGAGCGAGGGATATAGGAGAGCATAGTGTCTGGCAAGTTGTGGGAATCCAAGACCAAGTGATGGAACCATAGAGATGTGGGTGAAAGGAGAAGCATGAAGCGCAAAGCTAGAGCATAGGCTATGTTATGCGAAATTTTGATCACCGTAGGATGTTGGTACGGTTGGATATTCAAGGTGGAGTGAATCTAGATAGACGAGTCATGCAGGCAGAGACCAATAGTGGGAGCAAAGAGAAGTAGAAGTGTTGATAGTGGGGAGCAAATTAGAGTAGAAGTTGAGCTAGTTGGGATGCTAGGAAGTGCAAGAGAGATGACAGCGGATGAGTGATTGAGTGGAGGTTTGAGATAGTGGCAAAAACATGGAAGAAGAGAAACAACAGAAAATATGATAAGGTGAGAACAACTTTTGTTTCTACTTATACAATAAGTAATTTTTGATGGTATTTTCATTGTGATTATGGTCGTTGTGGCTGACGTGGCTAATAAGCAATGCAAGAGGTCATGGAACGAGATTCCTCTTCGTGGTGAATGTATATTATAAATTAGGTTCATAGCACCTTGGTATCATGTGTGATTATCTCTAAGCGCAACAACATAATGCGCTAGTCGCGAAACAACATATGCTGCGTAGTGATTGGCCTCCAACTTGGTCTTGCTCGGGCTGTTATGGGTGATTTTATTCTAGCCTGGCTTGAGTTTGAGGTTTGATTAAGACTAACCATGGTCTTGTCAGACAATAATTGGCCTCAATTTTTGGATAAGCACACAATATAGTGTTTGAATATTATGCCTGCTATGTTCTCTTTGCGATGAACGTAATAATTAACACTTCAATGATAGACCAAATAATCATTCAAAGATTAAATGTATCCTCTAGTCTCCATAATTTGAGAATTGGCAATGCCAAATCTCCATTAACTCGAACTATTTTCATTCCTCCTAAATTGCATAAACTCCAAGTTGTGAGCAAACACTGACAACATTGTTTCTCATTGGCAATTATAGATAAGCATGTAGTATTAGTTTATCTAATAAAAAAATGAAGGATGTAAAAGCTGTTGGACCAGATGATATTGCAATACAAGGTGTGGAAATGCTTAGGAGATGAAGGATTTCTTAGCTTACTAAACTTTTTAATACTATTTTGAAAACTATAAAGATGCCAGATGAGTGGAGATGAGTGTGTTAATTCCTAATTCCTATTTTTAAGAATAAAGGTGATGCACAAGATTGGTGTGAATTATAGAGGAATTAAGTTAATGTGTCATAACTTTAAAACTATGGGAGCGAAGTTATGGAGCATAGGGTTGGCGGCGTGATCCTAATGTTTCTCAAAATCAATTTGGATTCATGCCGGGTAGGTCGAGCTATGGAGGCATACATTTTATTAAGAGGTTTGATGGAGAATATAGAGAAAATAAGGAGGATCTACATATGATTTTTTTATTGATTTAGAAAAGCATATGAATAAGTTCCAAGAGAAGTGATATGGGAGTTCTTGAAAAAAAAGTAGTTAATAATGCTTATATTCAAAATCATTAAAAGATAGTATGCAGGAGCTATTACTTGCGTTCAAACACAAGGTGGTTTGACCAAGTATTTCCCTATTTCGTTGGGTTACATCAAGGATCAGCATTAAGCCCATATCTTTTTTGCTTTAGTACATGGATGTTCTCACTAGACATTTGCAAGAGGATGTAACCTTGGTGTATGCTTTTTGCTGATGATATTCTTCTTCTTGATAAGACTAGAGAGGGAGTATTGAAAGTAAACTTGAATTATGGAGGTCATCATTAGAGACTAAAGGTTTTTCCTTGAGTAGATCTAAAACGGAATATATGGATGAGTAATTTAGTAGTAATAGACCTAGTGAAGGGTTTTGACTTTGGGCGATCAAAGTCATTAAAATTAAGATATACAATTTTAGATATCTTGCGATCTAATTGTTCAGATGATGGTGAAAAATTGATGGAAGATATTATCGCAGAATTCAGTTGGATGGAGTTGAAGTGGAGGAATGCAACGGCTTGTTGTGTGATAGAAAAATTGCCCCTCAACACTTAAGGGAAAATTCTATAAGATGGTAGTGGGCCTGCAATGCTTTATGGTGCTGTGTTTCCAATTAAAAGAGAAACATAATACTAAGTTAAGTGTGGCAGAGATGAGGATGCTCAGGTGGATGATTGGCTTACCCTTAGAGATAGGATACGAAATGAGCATATAGATGAAAAACGTTGGAGATCCAGTAGAAGATAAGATTTAATAGAGAGTCGCCATTAGATGGTCTTTGGTCAACATAAAACCGGTTCTTCCAATGAAACCCGGTTAGGAAAGA